CCCAAGAACTTTCCTGCTCCGGTCCCCCTAGGTCGACAGAACCCACACCGTCCGTACCAACCGGATTATCGTTAGAGTTAGTGTTAGTATTCATAGCCTGCACTCTCCCCACTCTCCCATCCGTCAAACGGACTTTAATTCCCCTCGGATGATTACCCCGCGTCAATACCTCGCCCACAATGCCGCTGACTGTGCGGCCCGTTGGTTGGTCTTTTTTCAGGACAATGTGGACGCCTGCACCGGGGCGAACTTGCTGGGTTGTGGGAGGCATTCTCCTTTCACTATATGGGAAGAAGTTATGGGTGTCGATGAGTGTTGACGGGTGACTTTGTGATGATAAGATTGCGGTAAAAAGAGTGGAGGTGGATGCTGTGGGTAAACACGTGATTTGTAGACTGTGATTGGCTTATTGAAGTACGATTTAGTTTTGAGGTAATGAATAGATTAGAATGAAGTGCCATAGTGGTGGAAATGGTTCAAACGACCTATCTCCGGTGTGTCTGTTCCAGGTGTGTGAGTTGTATCACGTTTGTGGTTGGTGGCACTACTTCGAGTACAAGAATGCCCTCGAACACCTTCTGTTGCGTACTACGCAATGGGAGAGATAGTACTATCGCCTCAAGTGGAGTTGCCTAGCCAGCTTACAGACCAGAGGGATCTCATCTCACTACCATTCCAAGAGATTGTATTTCTAAATCACTGTATCACTACATCCACCACGGCCCCTCTCCCCTCCTCCAGCACAACCCGAACCCCTTCCCTCAACGCCTCGTCCAACTCCTTTACACTCCTCACTCTCGTCGCCCACAAATTCCCATTCGCCGCTGCCTTCGCAATCCCCCCATAATCCGGCCCATCCTCCACCAACGAAATGCCCAAATCTTTACTCGACAATCTCGCCGCCTCACCACCAGGATGCACATCCACCAAGCACTGCCGAGTCGCATTCCATCCACCATTGTTCAAAATCACAGTCAGGAATGGACACCCATACCTATGGCTAGCCCAGTATACTGCCGACGGAACGGAGAAGATAAAGCTGCCGTCACCGGTAATGTTACAGATGAAAGGTGAGTTGGTGTCCGCTTTGACGCGCACATCTGGACGATCCGAAGTATCGTACCGTGTCGTGGCCAATTTCACGCCGATCGAGGCGCCTCCAGCCCAGCCGAGACCGCTGCCTCCTTTGGTTAGGTGGGAGCCTGGGCGGGTCAATTGCAACTGCTCGGTCATGGCGACTTGGTTGGTGACGGAGTCGGTGACGAAGATGGTGTCGTCTGGTACAAGCTCGCGGATGCGGCTGCAGAGGAAGTCCACGCTGCAGGGTGCATCCGGGGTCTCGAGGAGTTTAGTTGCTCGGGCGTCGATGCGAGCGCGACCTTCGGCGTGAGCTGCGCGCAGGGCCTCGTGTCGATCAGTCCAGTTGGTCTGGAGATCGGCGAGACGGGCCGAAGAGGTAATGTGTGCGTTGATCTGCGTTAGTGCTGGCCCCGTATCGGCGTGAAAGGTGGCCGCTGCGCCAATGTCGAACATGTTCATGCGCTCTTTGCGCGGGTCGAGGTCGATGTGGTAGATGACTGCGTCAGGGGAGGGATGGATGCGGCGGGGAATCCAGGGGACGTCGGCGTCGAGGACGAGGATCACGTCTGCAGATTGGACAGCCGGTGCGGCACCAGTTCCTCGCGTTACGCAAGCTGGATGGGTAGCTGGGAAGCATACTTCGCGAAGCTCGGAGTCGAATACCCGCAGGCCGTGAATAGTGTCGGCTAGCTTGATCAGCTCCTGAACGGCGCTGTGGTTTCTGCCCAAATACCCGGTCACTACTAGGGGAGACTTCGCATTGAGCAGTGCGCTTCCGATGAGTTCCACTGCTTGTGGGGATAGAGAGCCCAGCTGACAGGAGGGGATAGGCTTGAGGCGGGCCTGTGGGCTCGGCAGCGGTGTGGCGAGGATCTCTCGAGTGGCTGTAAGATATACTGGGCCCGGGGAGCCAGTGGTAGCCATTAGGACGGCGCGATGCACTAGACTGCCAACATTATGCGGCGACTTGATTTCCGCGCTGAAGCGACTGTAGGGTGCTACGAGGGCGGCTTGGTCGCGGATGTCCTGGTACCATTGGACGTGCTCGGAGCGCGAGCCCGGGGCTTCGCCCAGCAGGGTGGATGGAGCAACACCTGCGAAGATCACGACTGGGGCGCGTCCGCTAGATGCATTGTGCAGGCCTTGACCGAGCGCTGCAGTCCCCACGTCCACGTGGGCGATCACACAGGCCGGCTTGTGGCTCATTCGGGCGTATCCATCGGCGGCGGATATGGCCACGAACTGGGGGGATCAGTATGGCAGCTGCTTATCAGGAAAGAACTAACGTACTTCGTGCTGGAACAGTACCATCTTGGGATACTGTCTGGCTGGGTCATTTTGGCGGCGGACATAGGCCTCAATAATGCTGGGATGATCCGACCCAAGAACGGTGAAGAGGTAGTCGACGCCAGCCTGTCGGTGTCAGACCAGATCTCAGAGACAATAGAGGGCAATCTACCTCGGCCAGGGCCTCTAGAAAGGCATCCGCCACAGTATGGGGAGCAGTCTCGATTGTAGTGTCCTGTGACATTTTGCGCTCAGAAGTGCTGGTATTCAGGAGCTGCAAATGCCCAGTTAGCCCCTCCTCTTTATGCTGCCACATGATGGATTAATGCATGTCCACCCATGTCAACGAGGAGGGGTCATGTATTGGTATTACACGAGGATAAATACGCATCCTGACGAATATCTCCACTGACTAGGATTGCCCTGGTCTCTTGGCGCTGGCCATTGACCCGTCGATATAAGCCTTCAGGGCTAGTGGACGCTAGGGATGGCCGAGTGGCAGGCTAAGTCCCCACTAACGGAGGACCGGAAAACCTCCGGACAACCTCCGGACCACAAGATGGACTGTGGCGGCAGCTCAGCCGGTGCCAAGAGCAAGGGTCGGCCTTAGATGAAGCTAATAAGAGTGAAACCAATGGTCTGGGCGATGGACAAGACAATGACAATCAAGTACGCGTTGTGTGTATAAGGACTCGGACGTGTCAATACCAGCACCTGGCATTCCACAAGTCTCATGGATATGCCGCTTCACTGTGCATGGAAATGCCCGTCTTCACGATAATCTGGTTCTTCGCAATAGGACCCTGGCTTCCAATGCTCTCTGTATCATCTCCATCTCCGCCAATATCAGCGTCAACATCCCGCGTGCCGTTCCCCGACCGCGACCCCAATCGACTCATCCGATAACTCGGCCTCGTCCGACTCCGACTCTTCCTGGACCCAGTCGACAATGACCCAAACAGGCCAGGCAAGACCTTCTGAATGGGGTGTTTTAGGAACGGCAAGCAAGCACAAATGATTCCCGTACTGGCCTCAATGGCACTCCACAACAACGCATCAAACGATCCCCAAGTCGGATCCGTAGTGGTCGTACTTTTCTCCATCGCCCACATGCGAATGATACTCGTCACACAGACAAACAACCCCATACAGAATACCAGTATGACTCCGATTTTCCTGATCCGATCAAGCTGTAGCTGCGCCAACACCGGCAGTGGCATCAGACACACCCAAATGTCCATTGCAGTATTATAGCCCGCCCAGGACCAACGAAATGGGGCATTTTGAACACACTTCTTGGGTATGTGCTTATACCAGCTGGCGCGAACGGGGAGGCATTGGAAGATGGTGGCTATGACGAAGCCAAAGGTGCTAGCGAGAACGAGAGCGATGGTAATCCAACAGATTATGCGGAAGATGCGGTTGGGAAAGACCCGGAGGTAGAAGGTGAGAAAGGAAAGTTTGTTGAGGCATAGGACGAGTTTGTAGAAGATCTGGAAGAGCCAGAAATACTTGCCGCAAGTTAGCTAAGTGTGATGGATTCAGTGAACACATCTCGCACCTTCAGAGCAAGGACGACGTTACCGCCCGTTCTGACGATATCGGCTTTGTGTCGGCCAAAGGCGTAGTGGCAGGCTGGACAGAGTTTAGTATTGATGGCGTCTACATTCTGGAAAATCATACCTAAATCACCCATAACGGTGTTGACGATCTGCATACCCTGGCTGTGGGTGAGTAAACGTTTAGTATTGGGACTCAGGATAGCCTACCATTGAGAATGCAATGATCCCATCGTCTACGGCGAATCGGCCTTGGACATAGCCCTTCCATGTCAGGCGACAGACCACCAGGACGAACGCAATGCATGTCAAGACGGCGGTTACTTTGACGAATTCGGGGCCTCTATTCGGAACATCCAGCGGACTAACCGCCATGGCGACGCCCCCGTGTCCTCGCTAATAGCAGATAATAGCTGGTAGGAAAGATAAAAAAGGAAAGATAAAACGAGTGACAACTAGCAGCGAGCGTAGGTGGATATTAAGGAATGAAAGCGCCAGCCTACGACGCGGAGTCAATAGGGTTGCGAATAACGACAGACTGCATTAGAAAGTGGCTGGTACATAGGAAACTCGGCATTGGGCCCCAAGTCTTATTAACAGTTTAATCAAAACATTATAGTGGTACAGGGATCTTTGATTCATGTGCCAAGCTCTTCCATCTGTTTGGGTGATCCAACACTATGCACAGTATACAGCTCCTGGCGTTATACTGTGGCCACTGGAAGGGTTCGAAAAATTTCATGAATACCACCCAGTACCGTAGATGACAAACCCCGTTCAAATTGTTCTATTAGCGCTGAATTCTGCGGTCTTGAAGGATCTGGTTATTCCGATAGAAGCATTCCCACCGATCCATCGTTCTACTCGGCCGGGTATTCGGATGCTCTATGGTTCGTAAGCACGTACAAAACCTTACCTCTGGCATTTCCCAGTGAGTTAGTATGTGTGTAATTCACGTACTCCTAGTTAAACTTGCGTAATAGCTTCGAAAGTGATGATAAAACCACGGTGGGCCATAAGTGAGACCAGCTCATCGTAGCGCATCTTTAGGGCCGGAACGGCCCCGATACGAGAATCCACGAGCGGAACAGCAGCCACTCGACGCTCTGAAAGAAAGACACAATATAGTATGTCAGGCCACGCTAGATCATGATCCCTGTCTGAATAGTGTACGATGGCTGAGTTATTTGCTCAACTGATTGTTGGTTTTCGCTTAATCTAGGTGCTTAGTACATGCTCTGCCGGTCGCGGGTTCAAAGTGTAAAACCGGAGAATTCGCCCGCCGCACAGATCCCTGTCCAGGGACTTGAGGTTGTACAAATTATGAGAAGGTACCAGAGTACCAATGGTAAGTAGACTAGGCGGGATGCTTCAAGAAAAGGGCTCCTTGGAGTGTTGGGGGATGCGCTAGCTACGAGTGTCCATTACCGTAGACTGGAGCTGTAAGAACTAACACATTGACTTGGGCGACTCTTCTGTGCTCCGGCGCGGAAGGGATTGAAATACACGCAATCACGCCAGTTCAGCTGAAGCTACGCATCTCAAGACTAGATCCCAGGGTGTATTTCGCTACGATAACATTGGCCACATGATGTTGAGACCTAGCCTTTATAGTAGTGCAAGGCAGTACCTTACTGACCACGCCAAGGTGGAGCCAAATAATTAAGCTGGGTCCGTCTAAGCCAGATCGTGTTAACCTACAGAGATTAAGCCTATAGCTGAAACCGGAAATCCGGATGAGCATCCCCGAGGTCATCTTCCTCCGGCGCCATCTCTGGCGTTCCCTCCTTGGCGGGCTGGCTGTCCCTGCGGCGATTCTCCGCTTGCAGGGCGAAAAAGTAAACCGTGCACGCCAGCCCGGCCACCACCGCAAAGGCCAGCCCAACACCAAATCCTGTCGGGTACTTCGGCGATTCACTGCTGATGAAAACATTGCCAGATACAAAGGCGCCGCAGTTGCCGAACGCAGGAAGCAGACCCATTCCAACACTACGCTTCACACCTTTGCCTAGGTTGACGCATAGCCACACCACGATCGTAGACATCATGATGAACGCTCCGGATGCCACAAAAAAGATGCCCATATAGCGAACGCCGGCTGAATGTACCTGCGAGAGCTCGACGCTCCACCCGATAATGGTCAAAATTGAGCCAACCACGGTGAACAAATACCGGTGTCGCAGATGGTCACTCAGCCAGGCGCAGGAGAGGGTTAGGACAAAGGCAACGGCATAGACAGGAATGGTGTGTTCCTGAGCGGAGCGGCTAGTCCATCCAAGATCCTTCAGGATGGTCGGCTGAAAGTTCACGAGAGAGCTGGCGCTCTCTTCGGCCCCGAGGTAGGCCAATACGCTATTAACAGAGTCCAGTTAGCAAAAAGCGGCATCGCAGAAAAACAAATACCTACCATATCCATATCTTCCAGTCAGCGGCCATGCTGATCACGCGTTTAAATGAGATAGGGTCATCGCGAACGCTTCCTCCGTCAGCCTTCAGCCGCGCAAGGAGCAGTGTCTTCTCTTCGGCTGTCAGGAATGTGGCGTCTTCGGGGAACGGAACCACAATCCAGTAGCAGATGAGGCTAACACCCATGGTAATGATGGACTCGATCAAGAAGAGCCTAGATTGTAAGAAGGTGGACGAATTTTGTATCTGGACAAACCTACCAACGCCATCCCTTATATCCGTCCAGATTCAATGGTGTTAGAAGACTCGAGAAGAGCTATGAGCGCGTCAGCAATTGTCGCAGTACATCTGGGAGGCCTTTACTGACCCCATTGAAAGCTCCTGCGGCCATATTGGCACTGAAGAAGATGGCATATCGTCGAAGAAACTCATCGCGCTTGTAGTAACTTCCAATCAAGTATGCGCAGCCTAATCACTCCTGAATCAGCGACCGTCCTCCAAGCGTTCAACTCGAGTTTTGCACCAACCTGGGACAAATCCAGCCTCACACATTCCCATGAAGAAGCGGCAAGCGATTAGTCCACTCGCGGTCTTGACGAGACCCTGGCCCATCACGAAAAGTCCTACCATAGGCACCGCATTAGCAGACACAATGATTAGCAATTAGCTGCCCGTCTTACCCCATGTAAACATATACAACACCAGCATCTTAGGCCCAAACTTCTTAACCAGTAAGTTGGCCGGCATGCCGAAAATCACGTATGCGACAGTAAACATTGTGACGGCCAGATTGTAGTCATTTCCGACGAGGTGCAATTCCTTGCTCATGCCTGCAATTTTCGCATTTCTACCATCGTCATCGTTAGCACTTCTGGCTTGGAATTTGATCGCACAAGAGGGGTCCTCACCCGATATTCGATCGGTCCATGAAGGACACCAGAAACAGAAACCATAAAGCAGGGATGACTCTCCAGTCCAGCTTTCGCAGGAGCTTCTTCTCCAGAGCCGGGTCGATGTTATCGCCAGACGAGGCTTCCAGTACCCGTGGCTCAATTTCAGACTTCTCCATCTCCATGATTGTCTCGGTCCTTGTGTAGTCGAAGGGGAAGGATGCAAAGGAAGAGTCTCGGCCTCCACACTGCGGGACACCCCTGTTTTTGTAAAGGACGCAGCAGGGATAATTCTCGGAAAATCCGAGCGGGAAAAGAAGAAAAAGAAATTAATCTGCCGGCAAAGCTGCAATAAAATAAAGCCAGTCCTGATGAAAATGCATCCCTGGCTGGGAGTAGGGTGAAGATTGGCCCATTGGTCGATACAGCTAACGGCATGATGTGGTACGGTATTGTTGCTGTTCAGCTGGTAAAAGTGGCTCCGCTTAGCGCGCCCCACGCCAATATACTATGTACAAGATAGCAGTTTTGGATGCGCGGAATAAACCCTAATTTAGTTTAGCAATTACCAAGGCTCTAGAGGGGGAGGGGAGGGACTGGTGGACAAGTTAGTAATATGTCACCCCCCTAATTAGGAAGGTGGCCGGAGCCTTTTCCACCGCGAACCTACCTATGACCATCGACCTTCCTGCATGATGAATTTCAGCAGGGACGCCTTAATGCATCTCCCTCCGGGATTATGGACAGTTGGCAGGATGGGTGGCCTTACAGCAGATATGTGCACGGCAATGCATTTAGAAGACAATGATGGACCCGTTCATCTTGCCAAGATCTCGATAGTAATCAGTAGGCTGTGTTCAGAATAAATTTTATCAGGTCACTGTTGTTAAGTAAGAATCAACTGCACAGATGTGGGTGTCATCTCCATGTGCTGCAGGGCATTTCAAATTTTAACCGCCTAGTGTGCCTTAGAGCAGCACGATCGGGTGAGACTGAATACATGCATCTCTAACACGTGGTGCATGTATTAGGCTCACTGAAGAAAGTGGATACTGTTCGATGCAACGGAAACATTTAGTATATGGCTATTAGCACGGTCTTTCGAAGTTTGAGCAACCATTTTTTCACTCCTCATCCTTCTCATCGCTGTCTTCTTTCTTTATTTCTTCCCTGTTCTTCAGCCTGAAACAAAACAATTCTGTCACAATGAAGAACAGAGAACAACTGTTCCGTTTTTCTGATCCTATCTTCAGATGTAGCTTAGTCTTCCACCCTCTCGGAGGCGAAACTCATAAGTGTAGATTCATACGAGAAAAGTGTCTCCACTGCAGGATCTATGCACCAAATTGCATAGGCATGGATAGAAGATTAGTCTCAGTGAATCGAGGATTCCCTTAGATTAGTAGACCTAACACGCCAAACGGCAGAAATGAGGTACGGCTTAGTGAGTGAATGCATCTCTCACAAAGCTGTACTACAGCAGATTGCCCAGATGAGTCAAATAGCATGATCTGGGAGGCACAGCCATAGAGACATAGTAGCTCCACTAGCGAGTGATATCGCAGTCTATTTTATTTCACCAGAAACTGTTGTCATTAACTCTAGTCAAGGTACATCGATCAATAGCAACTCAGCATGACCCATAAAAAAAGTCATGACCTAAGAGTATTATCTGCAGCTCACAACGTAGACATTGAAGACACTAGTCTGAAACAAGTTGCACGCTGGCGATACACCTTAGTTCATAAGAGCTTAATCACCAAATCTATATCATGATGTTAGTGTCTTCGGCGCCTGGGATAACTCGCCGAGCTCTATGCTCGGCGAAGAATTGCGATATCCCGCGCAGCAGTCACCACCCATCTGGTGAGTCGGATCATCCCCAAACGTAACTCCAAACTTCGTCGAAACCAAGATTGAATCACCTACAACACCATGGCCGCTAAGTTCGCTGTCAAATCTCTAGACCACCTGGTCTTGACAGTCCGGTCCATTCCGGCATCCGTCGCGTTCTATACGAATCACTTGGGAATGAAACATGAAGTCTTTACTTCACCCAGCAACCCGGATATTCAGCGGTAAGGCTGAGATCTACAGATTTTTCATTCTTCGACCACCCTAATCAATCTCATTCTTCAGACACGCTCTTCGATTCGGATCCCAGAAAATCAACCTGCACCAGAGCGGGAAGGAATTCGAGCCCAAGGCTCAAAATGTCATGCCAGGAAGCGCAGACCTGTGCTTCCTGACGGACATGAAAGTGGAGAATGTTCTTAAAGCTTTCGAGGAAGCTGAGATCGATGTTCTCGAAGGTAACAAAGTCGTGGAACGCACGGGTGCGGTGGGGAAGATCCGGAGTGTTTATGTGCGCGATCCGGACGGCAACTTGATTGAGTACGTATCCAATATTTAGGTTATCATCTCCTGAATCTCTATTAATGATGACAGGATATCGAACTACTCTTGAGACAGAGAAATCTTATATCCTCCAGCAGTGGGATCAAATCTTGATACCTGCTGATAGCGGGGTAATTCATGCACATGCGTATGATTAGTCATGTGATGTACAGCCACAATTGTGCATACATATGAAATTGTTGACAATTTTCTTTGTTCCTCTTCAACGTAGTTTTACATCAAACGCTTACTGTAACTAGCGGGATTATGAACATCGCTTAAAATGCCACTTTAATAGGCTAAGTCAAGTACACACATGGCTTCGTAACAATTTTTCAGTCCGTTCGATCTCAGTCCAGCCCATCATTTCTTAGGGGCCTCCACAAAGTTGGGGAAGCAGTCCTGCAGGGTCTTGTTGTGCTTGTTGGCAGCATGCTCAGTCAAGGCCGGTGCACGAGTAGTCTTGAGGAAAGTCGTCCTGCAAGTCTGGCAGATGATGTCCTTTGCAGCTTCGTTCTGTAGTCCCTGCGTAAGCATGATCGCCGGAGATTTCCCCTCCACTCCACTTATACATTTCTGTCTACACAAGTTGCGACACCACCCTACAAAAGCTACCCCTTTCTTCAAGTTTCAAAACGATCAATCAAAACACAGACAGAGGATACATACGGTCTTCAACTGCGACTTGCCACCAGCCTTGGTGTCCTTGGCGTTGCGCTCGCGCTTGGAGGCGGCTTTGGCTCCCTGTGGATAAGTCCATGTTAAGTCTGATAAGGCGCAATCAAGTCGCTGGTCACTTCACAGCAGGAGGAAGGACTTCGCGTGGAGTCAGCAACAGCAAGAGGCTTACGTTTCCCATAATGAATGTGGTGGTTAGTGGATAGGATGATAGAGATCGGTGTTTATGATGTGGGGGAAGATTGTCAAGGAGGGGAAATTTTCAGATTTATATCTGCGTCCCTTTTTTTGCCTCAGTTTTTTTTTGGGGCGGCCGCTTTGACACGCTAAGCCCGGCCGGGTCTGGACCGTGACTGGTCTCTTTGCCGTTCTTTGATTGGGTAGTGCCTGGCACGTGTTTTGACAGGTTTGCATGTTATGCCTCAGGCCACAATCATGAGCCGTGGATTGCGACAAGCCATCCCCGATGAGTTTACTTCGCACATGTCAATTTCCATCGGAATTGTAATTCTGGTCAAGGGGTCCTTTGGTATTACTAGCCTTCTATATTTATCTGCAGTCTCTTCGACTGTTTTCATAACGAACGTCCAGGACCTCATAGTCATTCGTACCAGGAAATATATATATATGGTCGGAGATAACACCATATAACTTCGAGATGACAGTCGCAACAGTTTCAGCCCAAAATCGTTGGTAGCAATTTCCAGAACAACCGACGATGTCTGATCACGGTTCTGTCAAGCTTGATGCAAAAAATTCGAGCTTTCCCCCATCTAGCTTCCCCGTGGTGATTATGGAGAATCACAGACCCGTCAAGTGACCACTTGCTGCACGTGGAAGCGCCGCTATTCCTTCCCGTCTCCCGTTCCTTATCACCCCATACAATCAATTTCCCGCGTCATCTGTCTTACTGACGAAAGACACTTGCGACATAACATCGTTCAAGGTATGGAAAAGCATTCGGATTAGACCCTAATAAGGTGTTGCCCAAGCGTCATACTGGATCTAGCGCGATTTCAACCAGCGCGAATCTCTTCTCTGTACAAGAAATCTCTCCGTTCAGTGAGCACACCTATCGACAGTCTGACAGTCTCATCAATCTAACTGCATTAATTGGAGTTCACAAAGATAGCAAACTCTAACGGATTCGTTAAACTCTAATCTCTCGCCCAAGCTCACTTGGCGGGTATAGCGCCATTCTAGTCATGATAAACGCTCAATGCACCGGCCAATCTGCGGTGGGGAGAGGCCAGCGGCGCCCGGGCCATCTCCGCATCCCGAGCCTTTACCTATCCATGATAACCCTCCATCAGCAGAGATAAAATACCCGCATCCTGACGCTGACGGGAGGGGAAAATATATTAGTCTTATTCTTCGTCGCTTATAACTACTGCTGTCATCTGAACACCCCAACCCACTCCCTGGTACTGTCACCATGTTGCCATCAAGAGATGATATCGCCAAATTCATCTCCATCGCCCCAGAGGCTACTGAAGGGAAGGCCCTTATCTTCTTGCAGGTATGTACAACAAGCAGCTAACTAACTTGGCCATGCGATTGACTTCGAACCCAAAGGAGGCGAGCTCTTTAGATGAGGCAATCAATCAGTTCTACGAGAATCCCAACAGATACCCCAATAACGCGGTTGCTGGAAGGCCCGATCCGAGGGTCCAAAGCGATGTTACTGACGCGCAAGCACTACCCCCGTCATATGATTCGCACATCAGCTCCGTGCACAGAGCTGAACATGCTCCCCCACAAGAATATTGTCACTGAGGCTGGGGATGTTCGAGCTCGAGATGAGGTACGTCTCGAACGTCAGAACATGTGCGATCCATCTAACATCCTCGGCTACTTAGCAAGAGATGCAAAACATGCTTTTGGACATTCAAATAAAATGCCAAATCTACAATACCGACATTGAGCCGGAACACGAGTCCAGTGAATACATGGCCTGTACTTGCGAAGTCCATCAATACAGGCGGAGGAAAGCTGGACGCGTCGATGTGCAGGAGATGTGGTCCAAAGCAGTGATGTATCCCGGTTTGTCCCGTCACTCTCCGGCTTAGACGTACTACAACCACTAATGTTTCGGATATCGTGGCGAGTAGGAGAGAAGGCTTATCACGATTGCTACCAGACGTCTGTTTTCTCTAATAATCCGTATATTCGGATCCCCTCAGCATATGGTATTGCCTACTCAGCCCTGCAACGTCCAGATGCAACACGATACACCAACTCCGTCCAGCAGACCATTTCCCTGAATGTGGCACTGAACAAGAAGGCGCAGGCCACAATCGATGCCATGGAGCCACAATGCGATATCTGGGCATTAGATGAACCGAACAATGCCTCCGCTACCTCACGCCCCGTAGAAGACAGAACTGCTCCCACAGCAAGCAGCATAGGACCAATGAAATCGTCCAAGTTATCGAACTTTAGGAGGGCTCTGTCTATCTCGTCATTGCAAAAATCAGGCTCCAAAGCAGGGGATATGTTTACTCGCGCCCGGGAGCTTCGACGGGCGATTCTGGAGGAGGAAAATGGTCGCTGGCCAGACTTGGAGTGGCGAAAGATCGTAGTCGCCTATCAAGAAAAGGTGGGCATGAAGCGGGAAATCGCCGAGCTACGAGCCAAACGCCCGATCCAGTACCTGCACCTGCTTCGAGCAGGATACTTTGAACCAATCCCTATAGCTTGGGCAACTCGTGCTTCAAACCCCTTGAAATTCCGCATCGACGGACTTTCTGGGTGGAGAGGCATTACTCCGGCTTGGAGGGGGTATGAAAATACGGCCGAGGAGCGTCTATATTGGGTCCTTAACCATAGAGAGGGAAGCACGGGCCCTCGCATGAAGCCAGACGTTATTTCTGCCTTGGAAATGGCTCGTGCGCGAATGGCCAGTGCCGTTGAGCCACCCCCGGCATACTACTCCATGGATGATACCTTCCGCCTTCAGCGTTTGCCAGAAAGTTACTCTTTGCAGGTGATGCCGCCTCCTTTTACACCATTTGACCAACCCGAAACGGCCATGGATAATACTATGATCCTACTGGATGTCTCTGGCTCGATGGACTTCGACCCCCTTCGACCACTTTATACTCAATACCTAGTCACTGGGTTCGCCCGTTCCAATCAACCTAAAAACAAGGGTAAGTGAACTTGAGCTTACACCATTCAAAGGTATCTGACCCGGTATCATAGATGTTGCCAAAGCAATCGTCCGCCGTTTCACAGATGCAATGTCCATCCATGACCAGAATCTTCATGGCTACCAGCTCGTTACTTTTGCTAACAAGGCGGATTATATTGGTTTTATCAATCACTCGAATTTCAATGATATGTGGAGAAATGTCAAGTTAGGGGGAGGGACCCGCGTTATGACAGGATGGCAGAAAATCAAGGATTTGCATTTCCAGAGACATTCTGAATCCGCTACCTACCACCCTGTTTATGGCTGGCAAGCAGGCCCGCAAACACCAATGCTGAGGTTGCTGCTTCTGCTTGACGGTGAAGCCACAGACATGGACGAGTTTGAACTTGATCTGCTAGGCCTCTCTTGGGTTCATGTCACCATTTTTCTGATTGGCGTGGATGGGTGTCCGCACCACCACCGGCATGCGAACGAGCTGCAAAGGATCAGCGAAGTGAATCCACATGTGTCATTTGTGGATGCGCAGGGTAATGCGCCAGAGCGATATGTCACACATGAGCTACTGAAGCGGCATCTGGGGTATGATGTGCCAATGGCCGAGTTTGAGCGACTGGAACAGTGGCCGGGAAATGCAGAACCACCAGTATATGAGGCATAATTTAGCATCATTATCGTCATCTCTAGTCAGAATGAATAATTTCATGCAAATTAAATAAGCAGCGCTCTCTATAGCTAATTACATTCGATCATAGTCTATAATGCGTGAATACAGGGGAATCCAAACAACGTCTCGCTCAATAGAATCATGCCCGTAATTCGCTCCACCAAAAAGTAAACATGACCCACCCAACTCCACAGTAGAACCCTCTATCGCCACTCAGGGCGCTGATGACCCTGCTGCTGCTGCTCGGACCGCCGTACCGGCGCGTGCCCCTCGTAGTGGACCGGATGATGCTGATATTGCGGACCGGGGTTGGCATAATGGGGTCCGTTGTTCGCATACTGAGGGGCACCATGAGGAGGGTACATCTGTGGGTTGTTGTATCCGTACTCATGGTGTGGGACTTGTTGGACGGGAGGGAACTGTTGAGGGTAGGGAGGTTGCTGGTGGTGATGGCAGCAGGAGCATTGATGACCCTGGTTGTCATGCTTGGATTGCTTTTTCTCTTGAAATTCATTGGCAGCCATAGTAATAAAGTATTAGTATAAAGATCTGACGACCCGCAATGATGCATGATAGATTGGTAAAGTACATACTTGGATCCTGCGCGGAGGAGGCCGTAGGCACCGGCGAGTTGGATACCAGTTTTGATGAGACCCATAGTGATTGATAGGTTGAGTTTTCGGTAGATAGAAAGAAGAGTGATAGAATGCAAGGTAATGAGGACTTTGAAGATGCTTTTGAATGCAATTGAAGGCTCGATGTTGTTCTTGATGATGAAGAACCCTGTTTTCTCGGGAAACACTTACACTCTTTATCTCCCAAACACCCGCCAATCCCTGCCCGAAGCGGTATACTAACACTAACCCTACAAGTTGAAGGATCCGAATCCGCCCCCAAACTGCGGCTCTTTAGTGGAAATAGTGGACACTTCACAGCCTGACACAGCCCAGTTCACTAAAAATTAAGCTACGATAAGTCAAGCTTTGATACCCCTAAGGTCTCAAGTCCTGCAGACACCTCTATCCCAGCTACCCGAATCCGAAATTGAACCTGCACCGCACCTCTAACCGAGTCAAACTAGCCATGCCCCCACGACTCAACCACCGCAAATCCACCCGCGGATGTCGGCGGTGCAAAGCTAGGAAAGTCAAGGTAATCAATTCCCCCCTTTACTACCCCACCGAAAGGATCCATTTCCCATATCCGGTATCTAACCGAAGTGTTAAGCTAATGTGGACCTCTCAAACGAAAAAAACAGTGCAGCGAAACCCGCCCTAAATGCCAGCACTGCGATCGTCACAACCTCCCCTGTGAATATGCGCCTCTCGAACCGCGCATGTACACATACCGAGATGATTCCAGCAATAGAAGCACAAGCACTGCCAGCACCACCACAGCCCTCCTGTCCTCACCAACATCCACGTCCACATCTCTATCCATCCCCAGCACGTCACTATACACTAACAACCTCCAACCCCCCCACCTGACTCCCCTAAACACCACCTCCCTCCGCCTCCTTCACCTGTACATCACCTCCACCTCGCACACAATGGGCACAGCGCAGATCCCTTCCGTGCGTGAAATGTGGGCACTCTCCGTCCCCGAAATGGCCTTTGAGTATCAGCCCCTCCTGTCCACCCTGCTCGCTGTGGCTGCGGCGCATCGCGCACGGCTTGTCCCCTCTGAAGCGGAGGAGCTGAGGCGTGTACAAGGAGGGTTAATTGCTCAGGCGGTTGGGGAACATAGGACTGAGACAGCCAAGTTGGCGGTGTCCTCGTCGTTGGGGGCGGGGGGTAGAGCTGGTGGGGTGACGGAGACGTTGTGTATGAATGCTATTTTAATCTCGCTGTATACGCTTGCGTGCAGGATGGATGGAGGTGGGGTGGGTGAGTACGAGCCTCCGAATCTGTGGTTGAATATGGCGAGGGGAGTGCGGACCGTTGTGTCGATGGTATACTTTAGGCTTGTGGAGGAGAGGGCCCGGATTGCGCCGTTGTTGGTTGCCAAGCCGGTTGTGCATCGGAAGGATGTGGAGGTGCAGGATGGGGGGCCGAAGGGGAGTAGTGGTGTAGAAGGGGCGTTGAGGTTCTTGGTAGATATGTTTCCCGGTAGTGAGGAGGGTGGAGAGGAGGTGATGGGGATTTATGCGCAGTGTGTTGGGTATCTGGAGGGGTTGTTGATGGCGGTTAGAATGGGGGAGTCGGAGTATGATATTCGGAAGAGGTTCTCGTCGTTTCCGAGTATGGTTCCGGGGGAGTTCTTGCGATTGGTGAGTGAACGGAGACCGAGGGCCTTGGTAATTCTGGCGTATCTGTTTGCGTTGGTTAAGTGTGCGGAGGGGGTGTGGTGGTTGAGGGGCATCCCGGAGATGGAGGTCCGTGGGATTGATTCTATCTTGCCTGAGGAGTGGAGGGAGGTTATGGGGTGGCCGGTGGGGGTGGTTATGGGAGTGGTAGATGTTAATGAATCGGTGTTATGATTATGATTATGCAATGATGAAACATTATATTCAGGTAGTCTATAGTTATACATTAAGGATCATAAGCTCGTAATACTGGTAACTAGATAGGCACTTGCGACTGGTTCATCGGCTGGATATATTCAACCCGACTGCGCACCAGGTTTCTGGTGACGATACCAACTCCCACGTAGATGAGCATGACGAGGTACTCGGGGATGGTACCGAAGATGACGCGCACGGCTAGACTGCCACCTTCAAGATTGGAGCTGGTGAATGCAGTGACGATGGCATAGACGATGCGAACACCAATCAAAGGCATAGCGACAGTGATAGCAAAAAGAAGCTGTGTCTGTTAGTGATTTGATTTTTATAGAAGATGAGAAGATACTAACCTGTCTCTCTTCTCCCAGTCGACGGCTGTGGGCATTAGCCCCATACGAGAACCAAATCAGAACAGCCACCAACGTCCATCCCGTCGCAAAGACAATCATTCCCACGCGAAGGAGTGTCTCGTTCCCACTGCTAGCCGCAGCAAGGCCAATTCCGCCTGCGACAACCATGTGTGTGATGAGGAACCCCCAGAGGTTCAAGAAAGGAGGGAGGAAGCGATGGATGGAGTGGTTTCTATGAGGCGGTTAGCTGTGAAGTAAAGACATAAACTAAATACATACGCTTCATGCAGAAGGCCCATGGCAGCCATGAGAAGAGGGGATAGCCCGATGCCGTTGAGGATTGCGGCCGTCGTGTTGATTTCGTTGCGGTGAATAGCGTTGAGGGACATTGCGCTGCCGGCTATACGCAGACCACACATGACGAGAACGTAAGCCCAGCCGAGTAGACCATGTTTGCCATGCACGACAAGGCAGTAGATCGCTGGAAGAGAGAAGAGAGCATAGACGGCCAGGTTGGCTACGTCAAGGTGTTCAGTTGCGGACATTGCGTCTGATCTGATGTAGTGTTGGAGTAAATGAATATAAAACGATGAAGTGTATAGTTAAAACAATTGTAAGAGAGATGGGGATAGAACTGGGTTTCCATCAATATAGCAAGAGATCCCATCGCCCTTTATAACTACAATATTCCTGCTAGGACATCTTGTGCGACATAGCCCTATGTCGATTAAGCAGCGAAACCGAAACCGAGGAGGCGCGGCAGGACAGCCACGTTTTAGTGGCTCCAGTGATCCTCACTGCTGGGGCCAAAGCGGTATCCACCACGCTAGTTGCGACGGTATGCTTGAGAATGAGCAATTTCTTCTTTGTGTTGACGTTGGGTTGACCAACTGGTTGATCATCCAAGCGATGGACAGGCTGCGCAGTGTTTTACTGCTAGACTTTCCGGTAACAAGTCCTCCTCGACTGAAAATAGCAACATTGTTCAGAGACTGCCATTGATGAAGGAGCGAAGTGCGCACAGCAACCTAATGGTGAAGTAGACCCAATCCGCATGGATAAGCTTTTGCAAAAGAAGGTCAATGTTGCCGTTGATGTTGATGTTGTTTCACGGTCGCAATCCTTCCCAGAGTTGATGCCTCAATGCCTTAATCCTTCATGTCTTTTTGCCTTAAAATATGTTGATGCCTTGTAGCCATGTAGCCTTATGGCCTTGTCGCCTGAGCTCCCCGCACGTGGCGGGCCCAGCCGCAGGTTCCTTTGCGGCTTCGTTCTTCCCCGCACATTCTGGTCTTCCACCGGCAAACATAATCACTTCCTCTCCACTACCCCGGATCCTGTCTATCACAGCCCAGAAATCTCCATCCGTTGCTTTCCCCCTCGCTCGTGACGTATTCTGCAGCCTTTAGTCCACTTGCTACATGCAGAAAGCCTCCAGGAGGTCGACTCCCCGGTCGCGAATATCCAAGGCTTGCGACCGTTGTCGTCGACAGAAGCTCAAGGTAGACTCCGACATTGGGGATAAGCTGGGAATAACCAACCGTGCACGATACTAATTGATTTCAGTGTGACTCAGTTCGTCCATGTGTTCTATGCACCCGTGCTGGCCACATATGCGAGACAACTACAGTATCACGTCGTCGTGTTTCCGAATACCAAACACCGGCCACTCCAGTGGCTTCCGCCGGATCTGACACGCCGCAGGTCTTACCGCGCAGAGCGTCCGAGGACCACCAACAATATGCAACGGGCACTTCAGCGATTGGTTTTGCCAGACAAGTTTATAATGAAGAGGAGACAGGCCGGACCTTGACTGAAGCTGCTGTGCCGGGTGATGTCGGCATGGCGGGTACTGATAACTCCCTCTGGGGCCTCAAGGAGACATCCATGCCACCAAGGACTGTGATGCTAGCATTGATCAATGCCTACTTTGACCGAATGCAGTGGTTTATCTTGGTACTCCATGAGCCGTCATTCAGAGAAATGGCCCAGCCAATTATCTCTCAACATCAATGGCAACGCCAGGATCTTGGTGCAGTCATGACTGTGCTTGCCGTCGCTGTCATCAGCTTACAATCTGTCCTGCCAGACGCAGATTGGCCTGGTCATATCCTCCTGGCTAGGCATTCGATTGATGCCCAGGATTTGCTGAACAAATTTCTGGCCGAGATTCGTTCCCGTGTGCTTGACATGTTGGAGGACCGCCGTATCGAAGGAGTCCAAGTCTGTCTCTTACTCTGTTGCTATTACATGTTCCACAGCTCCCCAAACATGGCGTGGACCACGTGTGGTATGGCTTTCAGAGCTGCATATGCTCTGAACCTTCAAGAAACCAGTACATTGTCACAAACTTCTGTCGCTAATGAGACACGCTCTCGTTGTTGGAACCAGATCATCATCTCGGATACATTCTGTTCCATTCTCTATGGACGTCCCGCTTCTCTGCCTTCTGCCAATGTTCGTCACCTACAGCTCGTCGACGACCTGGCCATTGATCACTCGTTGCTAAATGATCTCTCGGTGGACAATAGCGACGGACTAACGTCGCGCGCCCCATTTCACGTCTTGAAGACAGATGTGTATGCGATTGCTCGCGAAATTCTCATCCGATTCCGTCGGCTTGACCTGACATCTGGAATAGACGAACAGGACTTGGAAGCTATCATTCGTATTACCGAAGAGTCCAACGTACTTCTCACTGACTGGTGGAAGTCCGTCCCGAAACTGTATGACTTCGATTACTGGAAAGCAGACGGTCGATGGGAAATGATTGAAGGCCAGCTGCAAAGGCTTCCCTCCGAAGCAAGGCAACAGGTGGAGACAATATATCTACAGGCTGCTGTTCTCCAGTTGACGTACGACGGCATGGTCATCCAAGCAAATAGACCACTGTTGGAGCGAAGAATCAACAGGCTAACATCTTCGCGGGCGATCGTGGATGCGATGCATAGGGCGCTTGACCGAGCCACTGCTGCTGCTCTCCGCATATCCCGTGTTCCAGTTCACAAGCTGAAAAATCATTTTGCTATAGCAGTCGTATCGATGCAAGAGTTCACTGCTGGTGTGATTCTCTGTATACCTCCCACGGTGAAGCCTTTAACGGCCACCGCTCATGAGGCGAAGGACGGGGTGGTAAGAATAATACGCGCCAGTCGAAGTCTCAAGAGCCACGATCGAATAGCAAGGCAAACTGAACAACTTCTGACGGAACTACTCAAAGTTACCACCCAACGCGAGATAACGCACGCCTTGGCCGATAATCTCGACACCAATTTCCCCTCCGATACGCGGCTAACAGGCTCCGTTGTTGCCGGCGCCTCAAGTGACTCCTTGGGTGCAGGACGCTCCAGGCCAGTTCCCGGATCCGCAGCGCAGGCAGTTGTAGATCCTATCCAAGGAGCCTGGGACTCAGAATTCAATGCCCTCCCTGCCGTAACGGGACCTTATGATTTCCTCCCTGCTCAAGCCTTTCAACAGCTGGACGATACATTTGGTGCCTTTGGAGAATGTAATATCCCTTGATCACCCCAGACTCACATCCAGATTCTGACTGACCTCGTGCATAGCCATATTTAACTTGGTCCCTGATGATCAAAACAGTACATGGAACTGGGGCCGAACATTTCCCTAGCCAAAGGAGCATCAGGGATTCAACGTGATCAGTACAGCCTTGTAGCTCGCTGAAACTGCCCTGGAGCCAAGCCAAAGCCTAGACAGCAAGGTGCATGGGCGAGCTTTGCGAGGATTTAGTTGTTATTTAGTATGCCAAGATTAAGCCACGCAGAATGGCTTATGGCCATAGTAGCAACAACGGCCACGGAACGTTCTTCCATGTGGTATGGGGAAAGCCGCCGGATATTTGGGGAGGGCGTGATTGTTCCGGTGGCTATCTTTCCGGTGGAGATAACGGCGGTGGACCATCAAAACTCCTCAGCCCGGATTGCTCGGACTCCGCATCGTCAAGTATCGGTTTCATGACAGCCATTCGACTACTTAGAAGACACAAATAGCTATCCAACTTACCCGGACCTTTGATAATAATTTTCAGCAGATCTGTCGATCTCAGAGACAATAATGCCACCGTTCTGTGTGGAAGGCACTGCGCCGTGGTTTAACAATAATAAAACTCCAAATTGCCCAAAAGCTAGAGCGAAGGAAAGTCGAGAAGCCCAGTCTAGACTGGCGGGCTGATCGTCCGGTTCACAACCTGATTGACAAATCATCTGTGACCCTCGATGTTCCGCGGCGTTGAGCGGGTGAGAATGTGGATCCTAGTGGGGAAGACCCAATTGCCGCCGGAAAAGGTGAGCTTGTGCTGCACATGTCCGGTGGCTCAATTCAGGGCCATGCCAGGACATTGCTCTTCAAAGGGATGCGATTGCTATTCCCTATTTACTTCTTTAACCCGCTGACGGGCCTGTCTGGACCGAGAATTCTTGGTCAAGTTTCAGTGGAGCGATCCAGGAAAGAACATCCGATATGGACAGTTGCCCTCGATCTCAGGTCTGTAGTCGTGTGACACAGAGGCCTCTACTCGCTTGCCTTGCATGTCGGAGCTCAAAGGTGCGATGTGAATTAACACGAGGAGCGACTGTCTGTCGCAGATGCAACATGAGAAATTTGGAGTGTGTCTACACAAAATCACGAAGGTATCCCTCGTCTATCTTTCCGTGTGTATTATTAGCCGAGAGTCACGCAATGCTCTTTGTATACAATGAAATAATGTTGGAGCTAGAGAATGATTTCTGATAGTTATATGTTACAGGACACTCAGGAGGTCGTCAACTAGTCCGAACACGGCGTCCTCTCCTGACACTAATGCCTCATCTTCGCCATGCTCGGACTCTAGTGGGACCCATGCTGGCATTTCCATTCCCCACTCAGATAGTCCCGCCAGTGTGGACGAATGTGGGAACAACGGCCTTTTCGACGGGGGTAGGTAATATGTCATGCTTACCTGCGACACTCACTCACCATTCTTCTAGAATCTCTAACTCAATTATTGGTCTCTGGGAGCAAAGCCATATCAGGCCAACCACATATCGCCATTAAGCCACATGTTCTGTCTACCTATCCCCTTGACAACCTCCTCTCAGACATTGAGGGACTCCTCGAGCAGCCAGTCTCTCATTTGGCTCAAAGCAAGGAAGATCTAACAAAACCGGACCGGATGTTTCGAACTCGCCTTCCAGCGGTCTCAGGTGAGGACAATGAGTATCTGCTAAGGAAAGGAGCTCTGCTGCTCTTGCCACCAGCCTTGCGCAACGAACTATTGGCGGCATATGTCAACTACGTCCATCCGCTATTACCGATTCTTGATCTTGGAGACTTTCTCTCACAAATCATTGTTGGAGATGATGCTCAATTCAAGTCACCACTATTATACCAAGCTGTCATGTTCGCGGGCAGTATTTTTGCTCAGCGAGACGGCACAGACGAACCTGAACAGCTAACGAGGGCTTTATTTGAACGTACAAAGGTTAGTAATGGTTACAATTAGACATATCTTAGATATACTGAGCGATTTCCAGGTTCTATACGAGTTTGAATCCGAATCATGTGCCTACACTCAAATTCAAGCTCTCTTATTGATGACTCTCTGGCATGGAGATATGTCACGCCACAAAGGCCCGTCTTACTGGCTTGACGTCGCCTTCTCCACTGCGGAAAGAATTGGCCTACTCCATGATGAAGACTGGCCATGCGATAGCCGTTCCTTCCGATCCGCTATGTGGTGTTGCCTTTACGTACGTGATCGAACAATCTCGCTTGGGTCTCGTCGGCCTCCACGGATGCCAGTCAACAAATATCCGGACTCAATTCTCCATCTTATGAGCGACGCACCTCGGGAATATGACGAAATAATTCTTGAGAGTCTAGGTAGCGCTTCTCTGATGCTTACAAGCACTTACCAAGAACAATCGACCATGCTCTTCAAGGAACTTGTCAAACTCTCCTACTGCGTCGGGGCAATCTTAGATTATCTATACGAAGGGGCCTGGGTCCGAATACCAACACGTCGCAGCAGCTTTTATTCACTCGCCCCTAAATGCAGCATCTCGCCATCCATCAGACCAAGCTGTGAGAAACTACTTTACTCTTGGATTCAATTCCTCCCTCTCAACGCAGTCTACCATCCGCCACAGTTGCCCGCCGATGCGGAAGGGGAGTCAGCCGAAACAGTCTTCCTTGTCCACAAAGCCTTCCTTTACTTGCTGTACCTAGCCTCCATGGCAGTCATATACCGCACAGGCACTCATAGCCAACAAACCAGCACGGCAACTCCGAACATGGAAGGTCTACGGGCATCGACGTCACAAATAAAAAAGGTCCTTGCGGAGCTGCAGGGCATGGGACTGCTTCAGTTCCTTCCAGGGGCATCAGTCACTATCCTGATGTTCGCTGTGGAGGCTAGTCTGTTGGATCTCCAGGGCTCGGATACCATGGTCCGAAGGCAGGCTATGTCAAATCTATATGCCTGTGAGGAGGCTGCGTTACACTTGATGCAGGCTTATCCTACGGCTGAGATGGCGGTATTGAAGACTAGGACAGCCCGTGCAAACCTTCTTGGGTTGGTTGAGACATGAAGACCAATCATGGAAGCTCTGCTTCCATCAAAGCATTGTGTCTTTGCTTAATGAATGAATGGATTATGAGCGTTTCGCAACCTTCTTTAATGCAGCTACATAATAGAGCATAAACAGAGGCCCGGAAATATATAATTTGGCTAAGAACCCGGTTGCAAGCAGGCAAGTCACGAGGTGCAGAACATACCATCAAGTTTATAGATTATTGTAGGGGATATCCTCAACAATATCTTACTTCCACCATTACGTACTGAAGATCGAGGTTATCGGGGACCATGCTGTCGTGTCAATAGGTACGACTCGTTAAGTCCGCGGAGATAAGTCACGTGCACCGAGCTTATCCTCAAGCGGGGTGATCCTGCTCCCATCGCCATGGACTTAACCAACTTCATACTATTCCACCCCTTGAATACAGTCACTATGGGATCAAATGGTGTGACAAAGCCCACTGGGATCGCCAAAGGATCGAATCAATCGAGACGGCGCCATCGGATCCCCTTGTCATGTGATCCCTGCCGCGCTAGGAAGTGTGTAGATCCACCACCATTGACAATATATCCCCACAAGTCAGCTGCTAACGGACCAGGCTGAGATGCAATCGCGAGAGACCATGTCAAAACTGTACTGCTCGCAATGAACAGCCATCCTGCAGATTCAGAGGCCCTAGCAATGGGTCCGCCTCTATAGCCCGTCGGGATGGTGGGGATGAAATGATGAATCGGATCGATCAGTTGGAGAATTTGGTCAAGAGACTCATTGCTGAGCGGCAGGATGGATCTGGGAACGCGCCTAATACGCCAGAGAGCTCTACACTCGACGATAATAAGGCTGTGCAAGGTGCGCATTTGAATGCTTCGGAGGTCGCATGTGCTGGGACGACGATGATTGATGGCACTCGCTCGGTGTATCGAGGAGGTGATGAGTGGTATGACGTTTTGGAAGAGGTAAAAACCACGATCTTCTTTTTGTCTTTGCTACGAAATATTTTGCTTTCCCACGCTTGCCCAGTTGGAGTTTGCTCTTTGCTACACCGTGTCTCCCTTCTATCATGTTGGCGAACAGCTGCCTCTTTTTTGACGTCGCGTGGACTTCCTTGACGAAATCAAGGGCACCTTCGGCTAATAGTCCATAGATAAATGCACTCAAGCAGACGTGGGCCGAAAATCATGATGAAACAGCCGACGAGGTCGTTCAGTATCCTCCCTCACACATTGCCGACGGCTCGAGCTTGCTTTTTGGTCAGGTCAAGCCATTGGAGCGAATAGAGATAATTTCAACATTACCGCCAAAGCATCAAGTCGATAAGCTCGTAGCTAAATTCTTTGACACAGAGAATTTTAGGATAGCTGTGCCTCGTGAGTGTCCTCGTCCAATGATTGTCAAACAAGTTAACTTACCAATGTGAAGCAATCCTACACAAGCCGACCTTCATGCGCGAGGTATCAATCTCTTTACTGTCAGATCAATTACCTTACTAACCTCTTGTCAGTATAATGAGCATTGGAAAGACCCATCCCGCACAAATTTCATATGGCTAGGCCTCCTCTTCTCAATCCTCGGCCTCACAATGCTCTCCTTTCACCAATTCGGGGAACCGCCAGAGTACGAAGGCGTCTCGGAGTCTCTCTTTCAACTTTACCGCATCCGTACAGCACAGTGCTTACTTAACGGCGACATTGCCAAATGCTTTCCTTATACCATTGAAACCCTGCGGTTCAATGCGACAGCTGAGCTCAACAGAAAGGACGATAACCGTCGCGGTTTATGGATAATGACAGGAGTTATTGTTCGAGCTGCAATAAACATGGGCTATCATCGTGACCCTTCTCACTCGCCGTCTATCTCACCATTTCATGCAGAATATCGACGTCGTGTCTGGCTATCAGTGCTTATCATGGACGATATGGCTTCATTTCTTGGTGGCTTTCCTCGAATGGGCTCGGCAGTATTCTCGGACACAATGGAGCCACGAAACATACACGACTGGGAGTTGTCGGAACATAGTACGTCTCTCCCGCCATCCAGGCCCATGGAAGAGTCTACAGCAACAACCTACCTAATAGCAAAGACACGCCTCTTCCGTGCGATCGGACGCATCGCAGATTTTAACAATACTCCAAACTTTGTTTCCTATGATACTGTAAGAGAAATCGACCAGGCTCTCTATAATAGCTATGACAGCTTTCCTTCACACCTGAAGGTCCACAAGGAGGGAAGCACCATTCCAGTCAAGACTGCAGCAGATGTTTCTAGATTTAGTCTCTGCTCCATGTATCACAGGGCTATGTGCGCTCTTCATCGAAAGTTCATGGCTAAAGGGCGACTCAATGGCCGATTCAAACTATCCCACGATCGGTGCCTATCCTCCGCGATGACCATACTGGATTACCAAGTGGCACTAGAGCCGTCATGGTATAAATCCTCATTAACCAGACAAGTGTTGACTCTAGCTGCCATGATTCTGTTGCTGGACCTGGAACTCGCGCGACGGTTCAACAATACAGATACATCTAGTAGCATCGATGTACTGCAGATACTCGAAAGGTCTTGCGATCTCTGGAGACGCGCGAAGGAGTCATATGAAGAGGCTGGGAGGGTGCATGAGATCCTTGCGCCGATGATTTCAAGCTTCCGGCCCGTAACTGCAACTACTTCCGCTCAGACTGAAGTCCGGACAGCCTTTGACCTTCAAAAATTCAGTCCCTCATTTACCTCCTTCGATGGCGTCGAGCACTCGCTTGAAAAGGAAATGTCAGATATGGATATTGATTGGGTTCGTATCTCCTATTACTAGACTTGTTTCGTACTGACCAGAACAGACAACGTGGGATGCCTTCATCCAGGATACCGAGTTGCAGGACGGGCCTATATATTAATTCTTCGCTTACAGTAATCTAATTTCAAAGGAGGTTATCTACTCAGAAGTCGATCTCACACATTGTCAACCGATAATTCGACCAAGCATCTAGATATTACAGAGATTCACAAAGAGATTCCTGTCTGTCAGCATGTTGCATCGAACACCACGCCTTCCTCTGGTGACAATCTCGCTCAGTGTCCTAGTATTGCAGGGGTCAATATGGCGGCACAACGCCCAATTATGGCGTGCCACCGTAGCTCAACTGGTCATTGGCTGCACGCCTAGCGTGTAATATAATGTGAGACATAAGGCTGCGCTATCGACGCACCACAAAAAACACTTCGTGTGGAGCTCGGTCCCCTCGTGGCCACACGTGCACCAGTCTTCCTTATCAGCATACCGCCAGCCCCAGCTCCCTGCACATTGTGTATCGGAATTTGTCCTGATAGCAACTTACAGAGCCTCCTTATGTAGGCCAGTGGCCTAAATCCCGCAATATCGAGATTCCATCTGGTGTTCTATTTCCATTAATAATGGCCTCTCAAGCCATCAACAGTGAATGGGGGTCAATTGTACTATCGTTAGCTTTTCTCTTTGCGTTGGCTCGCAGGGTCCGCACCATTTGCAACTCACCAAAGAAAATAGCATCTGCTCCTAGAGGGTACAAGCACATAGTAAGTAGCTCTAACTGCTCAAAGTTGCGATTGTCTCAGTATGCATCGCAGATATTTTTTGCCACGGTGATTTGCATAGTTCACTTGACATCAGGGACTGGGTTTGGATCACACGCACATTTCTACAATGGTCTGGCCGCCTTAAACGCTTGTCTCTCGGCTGCTATATCGATGGTTGAGCATACTCAAGATGTTCAATCATCGCACCTGGTGCCGGCATACCTTGCTGTTGCACTAGCACGAGATATGCATAAGACGTGGAACATGACATGTCCCACGGTGTTTGACTGCGGCGGAATAAAGTTAGGATTATGTTTGGAAGCACTATGGCTAGTCTCCTTTATCCGTTCTTGGGTATGGGGAGGATATCTACATTTCCAGGTATCAGCTTCAGAGGATGCCGCAGGGCTCTTTAGCTTTGTTTCCTTCTTCTGGATCAGCCCTATGCTGAGGGAAGGCTATATATCGACGCTTCATACTGCAGGGTTGCCTGGGATTCATCACATGCTATCATCAAGAACTCTCCGCACGGGAGCCATCAAAGCGTGGACTTCAAGAAGTGAGAGCATTGATCTACATTTTACTATCGTGCTAATATTTATCAGCCGGGTCTCACAAACGGAGCCTTCCTCTTACCTTGGCTCGTTGTATCAAATCTGCTTTTCTGTTTCCAATTATTCCTCGCCTCTTCGTCATTGTATTCCGCTACGCTCAACCGTTGATCATGGATGCTGTTATCCGTTTCGTCAAGGATACAACTACCTACAGCAATAGTGGCCTTTGGCTTATTTTCTTTGCTGGTATTATTTACCTAGGAATGACGATCTCTGCAGCAATTTATCAACGCTGCATTGATAGGCTGCGTATTATGGTTAGAGGAGCCTTGATTGGCATGATACACGATCAAGCGATGAAACTCCCTGGCAAAGAGGCTGAGTCGGAAGCCGTGACATTAATGAGCTCCGATGTTGACAGTGTTGAGTCAGTGGGTGAGATTCTACATGACACATGGGCCTACCTCTTAGAGGTAGCTATTGGCACAATGCTGCTGGCTGCCCGGCTTCAATGGTTTGCATTTCTTCCACTGGGCATTATATTTGGTACGGCTCCCGTCCACATTCCAAGCTCTCTACTAATAAACGTCATACAGCTTGTTCAAGAATGAGTGCCTACGTAGCTAAGCACTTGGAAGGTAGACAAAAGGACTGGAATGTTGCAACTCAGGCGCGCATTTCCGCAATCACGAGTGTGCTTGGTGGGATCAAGAGCTTGAAGATGATGGGTATGGAGGATGTAGGACAATCCCGTATCTCTCAATTACGTGAGAAGGAGCTACGCCTGTCTGAGCGCTTAAGGTGGATTCTCGTCGCCTATAATGCCAGTGGTATGTGGTCATTATCATATTGATGGCTCTAAGCTAATGATTCAAAGCAAACTCACTTGGTATATTTGCCCCGGTATTGACCTTGGTATTCTATGCCCTATCACCTAGAACTGATGGCTTGCACGCCAATGAGGTATTCACGTCTATCGCTCTTCTTTCTTTGGTCACGCATCCGGCCAATATGGTGATGACTTTGGTCCCTCGTGCCGTTGGTATAATGGCAAACTTTGCACGCATCGAGGCATACATTAGTCGGTCATCAGTTGTGGATACTCGACAGATTGCTGGCAAAGAAAAGGCCCAACACTTGGCATCACTAGATCACGTCTCCATCAGGAATTCTTCAATAACGGATGCGCCAATACTTCGAGATGTCTCCTTCAGTATTGCTAAAGGGGAGCTAATCGTCTGTACTGGTGCGGTTGGAAGTGGAAAGACCACATTAGCCATGGCCCTGCTTGGAGAGTCAGCCTCAGGAGGGTCAATGTTCCTGGCTTCGAAGAAAATTGCATACTGTGATCAGGCGCCTTGGCTTCCTAGCGTTACTATTCGGGATGCTATACTTGGTGGCTCTGATTTTGACGAAGAGTGGTACAAACTGGTCATAGATGCATGCTGCCTGGCCCTTGACTTGGAAGCCCTTCCAGACAGTGACTCGACAGTTATCGAGAACAACGGCATGAACCTGTCCGGAGGACAACGTCAGCGTATAGTATGTTCAATATCATTGCGGGTCATTTATTATAAGCGGCTAATCGAAGAAGGCTCTTGCACGCGCTGTATACTCGCGATACGATATGTTGATTCTCGATGATCCATTCAGTGCCCTTGACAAAACCGTTGTAGAGCACATCGTAGACAGGCTCCTTGGCCCGAAGGGCTTGTTTAAAGCAACGAAAGCAGGGGTCTTTCTCCTTACCAATTCGGGTGAGTCAATCTCCATCTCTGGTATCTCATTATTCTGACGCGCAATAGCACAACTCTTCCCCCTGGCGGATAGGCTATTGACTCTGCAGGGCTCAGAGGCACGTCTAGAGGATCCTAGCAGCGTTCAGAAAGGAGAACAATTAGATAGTATCGTGGCCTCTACCGCAGGCGTCGTCCAGAATACTCAGCCCTCCGAGTTGCATGACAAAAAGATGCCTGGTCAAAATAATCGACTGAGTGAGGCTGCCATCGACTTATCACGGAAGACTGGAGACGTTGCTGTCTATGGTATGTCATCTTTGTTGACCCATCCAACGCGTGCTGACACTTGCGCAGGGTACTATATTAATGCAGTTGGCCATGGGAATGCCTTACTGATGACAGCCTGTACCGCCACGTATTCATTCTGCCTGACCTTCTCACAGTATGTGCTGAGATGGGCAACAGAGTCCTCACTTCGAGAACTTAATGGATATATGGGTCTCTATGCAGGGATTTCATTCATCGCGTGGGCAGCGACCAGTGGCACTATGTGGTCGGTTACCCTGTCTACTAACCTGGGTTCGCTGATATCTAACATATCGAAGGTTTACGCAGTTGAAGGTTGCCATTCGCTCGGGGATGGTGTTGCATTCCCAGCTGCTTGAGCGGGTTCTCCGGTCAGTTCTAGCTCACCTCCGCCATTCTACCTTACTGACTGAATTAAACTTATCTAGAGCACCATTGTCCTATTTTGCTGAAACTCATATCGGCGTCACTCTAAACCGGTTCTCCCAAGACATCGCGTTAATCGACAAGCAACTACCCTCCGCTCTCGCCAATCTAAGTACCCGTAAGCTGAAAATGTCATGCTCTGTGTTTATTCACTGACCGGCCATCTTCCATACCAGAAATATTCAAGCTGCTAATGCAAGTAGCCTTGATTGTGTACGTACAGCCGGTGATGCTAGTCACGATACCACCATGTTACATACTCGTTTACCTCATCCAAAAAGTCTACCTTCGGACCTCTCGCCAGTTACGGTTCCTCGACCTCGATTCGAGATCGCAATTGTACACAAATTTCTTGGATACAGTACGCTAACATACCCCTTAATCTCTGTATCCCCCCTCTCAATATGATTCTTCTAATGGATACCAGACCAGAGGCGTAACTACAATACGCGCGTTCGGCTGGCAGGAAAAATTCGCAACCGACAACATCCAGGCATTGGATATGTCACAGAAGCCATACTACCTGCTCCTCTGCTTACAATGCTGGCTTAAGGTGGTTCTGGACTGTATAATGGCGATCATTGCCATAGGTCTGATAACGCTTACTGTCGTATACCGGAACTCCACAGGGGCCGATATCGGACTGGCTTTGAATTTGATGATCGGAGCGAATACCACGCTTTTACGTTTAATTCAAAACTGGACTTCCTTGGAGACCTCGCTCGGGGCGGTTTCTCGCCTGAAGGATGTGCAGGAACGTGTCCGTAGCGAAGATGATGCTAGGGGTGCTATAGAGCCAGGTCCACGGTGGCCGTCCGGGGGAGAATTGCGGATGCAGCATGTCACGGTGTCCTACTCCAAGAAGTCAGAGCCTGCTCTGCGAGACGTATGTCTTGAGATTAAACCCGGGCAGAAACTCGTAGTCATGGGTCGGACAGGAAGGTAGGCAGTATCCAGTAAACCGAGCGTTTCATGCACGAGCTGACATGTTCATTGGCTATAGCGGCAAAAGCACTCTCATGCTCTCCTTACTCCGTCTTCTGGAAACTATGCACGGAGACATTTATATTGACGACATCAACATCGCACATGTACCTCTACAGGTCCTTCGACAACGGGGCATCATCGCCGTACCACAAGATGGCTTCAATATGCCGACCGCGAGTATCCGCTTCAATCTGGACCCGTATAATAAATGTACGGATGATGACATCGTGCAAGCACTGAAGAGGACTCACCTCTGGGACAAGATTTCCGCCTCTTCCTCAGGCTTTGATGACACACTGGACCTTCCCATGTCAACAATTCTCCCCTTATCCGCCGGTCAGATGCAACTCTTCGCGCTCTGTCGGATGCTTATCCGTGTGGAGATAAATAGGTCGTCGAAACCGATCATCATCCTCGATGAAGCTAGCTCGTCATTGGATCTTCAGACGGAGGCTATTCTGGGAGGTATTCTGCGGGAAGAGCTCAAATATCACACAGTCATCATGATTGCTCATCGAGCTGAGGGGATCATGGGTGCATTGAGGGCAGGAGTAGATGCCATTGCTACGATGAAGGATGGAAGGCTACGGGTATCTGTTATTGGCACATCGATGGATCGTGTTGATGAGAAATAGGTCGCTTTGCTGCGTGCATCTTAAGACTTGTGTGGCAGCTGACATTTAAAGTGCCCATTAACAACGAAATGGAAAAAGAATGAGAGCTGTACTGAATCGAATGTATCTACATGGTGCTTCAAACTAACTATGTTATTGATCCTGCGCGGATATCTCGGGATTGGAGTCAGCAGTGAGTAACTCATCAACGAACCGCTTGTCGTCTTCTCGATCTTTCTCCTATCCAGGATTAGCAAGATAACCTGGTGGCTTAGGTTCTGCGCTCGAAATGTCACTCACAATCATTTCCACAAGTCTATCTCCCAGGCGTTCCACCAAAAATCCCTGGCCACTTAAGATTAGTAGTTTAGTCCAACTCTTACCATGTGTTTTTAAAAACACGAATGCTTTACTGTTTCGTGGCAGCGATTCCTCTCCATCGCAAAGATGATCTACCCACTTGGTGCACGCATACTGCAGCGCTTGGGACACTTTCTGTGTCTTCGGCTCTGCTCCATTCTGTAGCTTGCCACTATCTTGCCCACATGCCTCATTGAGGAGGTCAAGGCAAGTATCCGCCAGCATAGAATGGCTCTGTTGTGGCGTTAAATAAAGGCTTGGATGCTCCATGGTGGTGACAAACTTGTGCAGGGAGATATGAAGGAAGCCTATTTGTTTGTTATTATCCTCAGGTATTCTGATAATAGAATGCAAGTCTTCCAACATGGAGTCAATGTCATCCATTTGTATCAAGTTTGCCAAAGCAGGCTTCGATAACATGCCACGGTTGTAAGTAATAGCGCATAATATTCGTCGAGTGGAGTTCCAGTAGGTGGCTTTTTCATGTTCATCCCAGGCATCATTGACGGAGTCATCCAAGATGCTAGTATATATTTTGTACAGCACTTCAATTGGTGTTCCCTTTTCCGGCCGTTCTGCATCTATATTTCTCAGTCTCTGCAAGACAATTTGGGGTGTTTTAGCATTTCGGATGTATTGACAAGCAGTGGCAGCCCAAAGGAAGAGGCCACGAGCAAAAATGACGAAAGTCGGAATGATCCCTGAGCCCCATAGAGACTTTGTTTCGAACGGTTCGAAGGGGGCCATAATTTTGCCAATTTCATGGTTCAATAACAATTTTATATCCGAGTCAACGATTCTGCGATTAATATCCTGTAATCTTAACGTCTTATGACGTATTCCGGAAAGCTCTGACCGAATGGCGGACTCTGGTCTACTCGCCAGAAACACGATCACCTTATTTTCGCAATCGTGAGTGATACTGGATAGAAGACGAAGAATCAAGCGTTGATCATTCTTCTCAGGACACAAGTCCAAGCCATCGACCACAATCAGTAATGGATTCTGATTCGGCTTCTTTGTGAATGCAGCAAGTGGCTCTTTCACAAGTCGTGTCCACTGTTCTGACAACCCTTGATAGGGTAAAAGTGGGCATCGTTCCAACACATCCTGAATAGCATTTTTCATGCTTGTATCGAAGCTGGCCAGCTGACAAGCAACGGCTGATGCAAAGATGTCCGCACTATTAGCATCACCATTCTCGTCTGTAAAGAAAAAGCTCGCAGCCAGCCGCGACTGCTGATCATAGTTTCGAGCCACTGTGCGAGCAACTGTGGTCTTTCCAGTCCCTGCCATTCCACTCAGCCAAAAGATACCCTCGTCATGGTCCGCATCAATCCATTCTGCTATGTCCTTCAATAAATCCACGCGAGTGCCCTCCAGGCAGAACGAGTCATGCTCCCTTTCCCGGGAGTTGAAGCAAGCGCTTTTCGCAAAGGGTAATGTCGAGAACACCTGGACATCTCCTGTCTGGTCTCAGCCCACTGTTCTGGTAGGTGGAGTCGCAATGTACCCACCAGTACCCATGTAGATCTTCTCTCCCGATACGCTGCCGAAGTTGTACTGCTTTCCGGTTCCAGCATAGAACTGGCCTGAAAGGGCGGGTCCGACAATTGCTTCCCCTCCCATAGTTCCAAGCGATATGAGATGTTTGGGGGAATTGGTAAACACACCTGATAGCCTGGCGGAGATTATAAGCAGTTTTGCAAGCGTCAGGCTAGAAATCTACCCCTCAGCAAGTGCATTAGTTTGGCCAATAACCGCCCGATCTCTAGCGCCTGGATGGTGATCCCGGACACTTGTTCCGCGAGCCTTGTCTGCTCGGCTGAAATGATACTTAAACAAGCAAATGATATTGATGATTGTTGCAGTAGGATCGCGTGGTTTTTCTTGCCCGCTGTTGGGAGTTATCAGCCCAATGGCTCTGTCGCGAGACTACACCGTCGGCATCTTCTGCCCACTTGAGGTCGAAATATGCGCCATTCACTATATGCTAGATGAAGTACACAGGCAAACACAATCCCGAACAACCCGGTATGTGTTGGGTAACCTCAGCGGGCACAATGTCGTAATTGCCACAATGCCCTACACGTTCCGGGGCAAGATCTCTACAGCAACCGCTGTCAGTCAGTTGAAGCGAGACTTCCCTAACGTCTCATATCTCCTACTTGTCGGTATTGGCGGTGGTATACCAACTCAAGGTATCGATGTTCGTCTAGGAGATGTAGTGATCAGTACCCCAACTGGAACGAATCCTGGAGTGGTCCAATACGACTTGGGCACAGCGTATCATGACAAGTTTGTGCGCGCCGAGCAGCATCTACTACCTCCTCCGCTCGAATGGCTACATGCTATATCTAGGATGAAGGTTACACATCGAGTAGAAGGTGATAATGTTGATCAGTTCATCGAAGAGCTACATACACGCTGTGCACGTCAGGCCTTTGTCCGCCCATCCCCTGATACAGACACCCTTTTCGAGCCGACATATGACCATGTTGAGGGTGAAGCAACCTGTAATCAATGTAGTCGAGACAGAGTTGCGCAGAGGCCACCACGCTCTGATCCCACCAAGCCAGTCATACATTTCGGACTCATCCTTTCCGGTGACTCAGTGATAAAAGACGCAGCAACAAGGGATCAAATCGCCAGGGATGAAGGCGGGGCCATTTGTTTCGAAATGGAGGCTGCAGCCATGATGAATGATTTCCCCTGTCTGGTCATCCGGGGCATCTGCGATTACGCCGATTCGCACAAGAACGATGTGTGGCATGAGTATGCCGCTGCAGCTGCCGCGGCGGTGGCTAAGGAAATTCTTCGGTTCATTGAGCCTAGTAAGTGGATCTTTTTCGGAGTTTATTTCGCAACTGGTAACCTTTTCAATTCAATACAGTTATTCCTCGAATAGAAGATGATCACGACTGCCCATCCACCGGTGTAGTGTCGTCGAATGGGGCGATCACGGGCACATTCTATGCGCAGAATGGCACGATCACCAACATCCAGACTATGACAGCGGCAGGGAATATCTATTTCGGATGAATCGATTGTCTTATTCCGCCTTAGTACCGAGTGTCAAGATTAGCTCTACCATTCCAGGGTTTCAGTCCATAAGGTTGCAGCCGCACATCTACATTTCAGGGTCAGCGTTAACCAGGTACGGTGACATCATCACATACTCACATTCCAGACCTCAACGTCAATCCTGCACACGATCCTCACATCCAACATCTACCTTAAGCCATGCTCAATTGACTCAATTCACCCACTTCAACTCCTCCTGAAGACATGCCCCCCCAATCCGCACCCACCGTCATATTCTGGCACCGCACCGACCTCCGCCTGCACGATAACCCAGCCCTGCAGGCTGCTCTCTCCCTCAACCCATCGACCTTCATCCCGATCTTCACCTGGGACCCGCACTATGCGTATCAGGTCCGCGTAGGCCCAAATCGCTGGCGCTTCCTGCTGGAATGCCAGAATGACCTCTCACAATCCTACCGCAAGCTGAACCCGAAGCAGAAGCTCTGGGTGGTTCGCGAAGCACCTCAAACCGTTTTCCCTAAGTTATTCAAAGCATGGGGTGCGACGCATCTCGTCTTTGAGAGTGACACAGATGGATATGCGCGGGAGCGCGATGAGACTATTAGGAAGTTAGCGAACGAGGCAGGGGTGGAGGTTATAGTGAAGTCTGGACGGACATTGTTCGATTCCGACGAGGTGGTGAAACAGAACAAGGGCGAGCCGACGATGAGTATTCATCAGGTGGAGAAGGCGATTGAGCAGATAAACAATGGGGTGCCGGATAGGCCTGTTGATGCGCCGGAGAGGATACCTGATCCGTTGGGAGAGGAGAAGATGAGGGATATAAGTGGGCTTGAACATGAGGTTCCAGATCACGAGGATGATATAAATGCTGCACATCGAACCAAGCATAACGACAATCAGTACAACAACATAGCAGGTCCCAAGGGCGACTTCTCCATTCCCACGCTGGACGAACTCTCCATCGATCCCAGCCAAGCAACAAGCCCCCATCACGGCGGCGAATCCATCGCGCTGGAGATGCTGACCACCTACCTGCAACAAAACGAAGACTACATTGCCACATTCGAAAAACCCAAGACTTCCCCCGCGGCCTTCCACCCACAAGCTACAACCCTCCTCTCGCCGCATCTGCACTTCGGCTCTCTCTCCGTGCGCAAATTCTGGCATGACGTGCAGGATACCCTCCAGCAGCGCGAATCAGCCCACAAACCTACCTCAGACCTCCCTACTAATCTCCCTGGACAACTCCTCTTCCGGGAAATGTTCTTCGCTGCGCAAGCAGCTCTAGGACCAGTGTATGCGCAGACGCGTGGGAACAAGATCGTGCGGTTCGTTCCGTGGCATTTACAATCTAATCATGATAAGGAGACGGGATTAGTTGACAGGACGTATACGGTTGACGATGAGCAAGCGGAGGTGTGGTTCCGACGGTGGAAGGAAGGGCGGACAGGATTTCCGTGGATCGATGCGTTGATGAGACAGCTGAAGAATGAGGGATGGATTCATCATCTGGGGAGACATAGTGTGGCGTGTTTTCTGACTAGGGGAGGATGTTATGTGCATTGGGAGAGGGGGGCGGAGGTGTTTGAGGAGTGGTTGATTGATCGTATGTATATCTATCTCATTCTGTGGAATTATGAAGGTGATGATGCTAATAGGAGCGAAACAGATGAAACAGCTTCTAATGTTGGGAACTGGATGTGGTTATCCTGCACGGCGTTCTTCACACAGTATAATAGATGCTATTCGCCGGTGGCATTTGGGAAGAAGTGGGATCCAGAAGGGCGGTTCATAAGACACTATATTCCGGAGCTAGAACACTATGATAAGAAGTATATTTATGAGCCGTGGAAGGCGCCGTTAGAAGATCAGAAGCGGTGGAAGTGTCGGGTAACTGGGGATGGGATGGTCGAGAAGGATGAAGAGACTGGGTTAAGAGCTTACCCGGAGCCGATGTTCGACTTTGATGAGAGGAGACAGACGTGTATTGCGCAGATGAAGGAGGCATATGAGGTGCATTTAATGGGGAATGATGAGAAGGTTATGGATGGGTCGTGGAAGGAGATATTTGAGTACGAGGTTAAGGATGGGAGGGTAGTGGATGAGACGAATGTGAAGGTGGATGGGGACGGAGGTCATCGTAAAGGAGGAGAGAAACGGGGGCGACAAGCAGGAGATCAGGATGGTGAAGATGAAGATGGAGGACATGGTTTGAAGAAGAAGAAATAGACGACTGAGTGCTGTCTATATCAAGTCATCCAAGACGCGGTATCCTCCAAATAATATACACATCTTCCCACTCACTGCTCTTCATGCCCCCTTCGACCTAAGCATCATTGAAGAGATTTTCAGATCAGTTCAATTCGTTCCATTTCCTTCATGCACATGCTTAGTCCCCTCTAAACGCTTCCCAGAAGGTAAAAGAAAAAATATCTATGTAGTCATCCTCAGTCAAGTTGTATCTATCCATGTGGTCCCAAAGCAACGAAAGATCACACATATGCAACCGTCTCCTTTGTCGCTGGAAAGACGAGAGTAATCAGTAGCCTTGTCCAAGACCTTATCCGCCTCATCTAGGTGGGCGTGGAACTTGCCCCGTTTTGAAGCTCTTACCACCAACCCAGGCCCAACTGCCCACAACATACTGGGCAATGTCGAAAGTGAGGTTCCAGTGAGAGCAACTGCGCCCATCGTTCTGAGAAACACCTTGGCGCAGCTCAGGAATATAATCCAGGGATTGGGAGACACTACTCACTTAGATATCAAATGATCTTACTACTCCGTATACTTGCTCAAAATTGGCAGTGTTATGGATGGGTTGTGGAGGGAGGTGTTTGCATTCGAGGAAATCGATGAGAATAATGGGAAGGTGCATTCGAGTACCACTATCATCACATCATCGTGACTGCCTCTTCCTAGAAAGGTCCCTCTCTTCAATTCCCACCATCTCTCATTCTTCCTCACTTTTCCTTTCACCATCCCCCGCTTACTTCCAACTCGTGCCTCCCCCTCGATCACAACTTCGTCTTCTGTCAGTTTGATCTTCGTTTAGCCGCCCCCGTGGCACACGGCGTAAGCTGGTGCCAGTATTCCTGCCCCTGCTCTCTCGCTCGCCCGGTACACGGCGTAAGCTGGTACCGGTATCCCCTCATCCTCTCGTCCGGCCTCCTCGTCTCCTTGTCTGGCTGGCACACGGCGTAAGCTGGTGCCGATAGCCCCTTGTCGTCTCGTTTGTCGTCCGCCTCCTCCCCTCGTCGTCTCTCGACCGGCTGGTACACGGCGTAAGCTGGTGCCAATTTTTTCGTGATGTCGACATCCACTCCTACCTCGCAATCTACCTGTCCTTCTCCCAACCAGCCCTTGTCGACCATGGGCCCTGCTGACGAGCTCCTTGATCCATGGCGACGTGATCTGATCGCTCGGCTGTCTCGATTTATGGAATATCCAGAAACTGATTCGATCGGATGGGCTTGCTTGTGGTTTGCAGATCTCTCTACAATGGAGGATCTTATCAAAGCCTGTGAACAGAATCCGCCAACCGTCTCCCGTCATATATCCGCTGCTCTGAAGAAGAATGACCAGAGAGCACAAGCTATCAGAGCTTGTAAGTGAATCGACTGACCATGTAATCGATCTTGCGCTGATCCAGTACCAGGGGCATCTGCACGGTCCAGTGAAGACTCGGGAGAGCCTTCTGCAGACGAAGAATCAGACACAGAAGAGCCTCCAACTAAGAAGCGCCGGCTTACTTCGGATCCTTGTCGTGCAAAAGAGCTAGTAAGTTGAACAGACATAATACCCGATTGAGTCACTGTTTTACTAATACTACCAAGTGCGAGGAGCGAGATGATGAGAAGTGTGTTCTCACCGGTTGCACTGTTCCAGTCGAAGTGGTGCACATAATCCCCAGAAGCTTCGGCAAGGGTGAAGAGGGACTCAGCGACTTTTGGGAAGCTTTAGAATGTTACTGGTCCCCAGAAAATGTCAGCGCCTGGAAGGAACAGGTCTTAGACCCAGATGGAGTCGACACCTGTTCTAATCTCATGTGTCTGGTGAATGTGGCCCGCAGATTATGGGAACTTGCGGTGTTTGCCTTGAAACCTCTGTCCCTGAGTGAGGATAAAAGGCAGCTTGAAGTACAATTCTATTGGCTGCCGATGAACAGATACCGACAGACAATGCCAGTAACGGCCATCCCCAGTCCTTTCCCTCACAATCTTTCCAGCACGAATGCTGGATATACAACCGTGCTATGTAATATTGTCACGCGCTCGAGGATATCCTCTGGGGACATCTTTACCTTTAAGACCGATGACCCAGTGGGTCACCCCCTTCCATCCATGCAGCTACTGAACATGCAGTGGATTCTAACTCGGGTCCTTGCCCTCAGCGGCGCCGCCTGGGTGACCGAGGAAGAGGAAGACCAATAAAGCGCTCTCTTGAGAAGGTCTTGCGAATCGTGCAGACAGCTTGTTTCTGAGAGAAACTCATTAGCTTCAAGGAGAATGTGGGCTTTTTATATACGGGTTGCACGGCTTTATTTGTCGGTATTGATAGCCAATAGCCAATAGCTGTGTAGGTGTGTTACGTCACATATTCTTTACTTCATTGCTGTTTGCCTTCAAATAATAAAGACCTGAGCCACTCCGTAGGATAATCCCCTACAAGATCAAGGCGCGGGACAGTGACTGCTGCAGCTGCGGGAAGGCATCCCAGACCGGTGAAGCACCTGCATAGCTAGCATCTTCCAGTAGCAGGCTCGATCGGATATAAGAAATGAAGTGAATTGGTTCGAATTGAATTGTCAAAGCAAAGTTTCTTAAACTGAGTGATACACGAGCGAGTCTCACTGATATTGGCAAAGTCCTTTGTCACATTTGAATCTCTCTCTCGCAGATAAACAGCAGATGGTCGCGAGACGAGTCATGCATGATGTGGATAGTGGCTAGGCAGAGATGGCCTTGCAAGATGTTAGTTACCGAAAAAAGCCATTTTTAGTTTTCACTTTATCATGTGGTGAGATAGGCTGAGTACTCAGCTAAGGCTAAGTACTAATACTATAACTTGGCGATTCTGGCGGGTGTAAAATGATAGTATACATCATGTAACGAGATACTTAGGCGGCAGCTACTTACTAGTACCAGCAATCGGGAGTTGTGGCTGGCAGTGCGGCTGTTTATATGTTTTCCGTGTCGACTTCGCAGGTTCTCTCACGTTGGCTCATGTAATAAACTGTCAAAGAAACTGGGGGGTGCACTACTCATCCGAGTATGAAATGATATTACTACACAATATAACTGAACTAATTGACAAGATTATGAATGGGTCACGCAGGGAAGTGTTTGGACTTAGAGAAAAGATGACAAGGTTGTATATTATATCTATAATCGTCTCCGTTTACACTTATATTCCCTTTCCAGGAATGAACGGTCATACCTATCTTCCCACTCACTACTACCAGTACTAGTATCACCCTGTCTCTTCACTGTTTGTCTCATACCAGCATCATAAGAGGAAAGGTAATAGAATCTCTCCTCTTCACATCCCCTTCCGCCTAAGACCCAATAAGCACACACACATATCCCAATCAAATCCATCTCCAAAAAGGAAAAGAGAACATACCTATATTCCCACCACGCATATCCAAACTATATCTATATCTATGTCCCAAAAGAAACAAAAGATCACGAATATGTAACCTCCTCCTCAGACCCTCCCGAAGCAGCGCATGCTGATATCGTCGATGATGGAGTCTATTTCTCAGATCGTGGGTCGTTTGCTCATATATCGGGGATGATCTTTGTTGGTTTATGGTGTTATTCTCATAGGTATGATATGCTTTGTGTTGTGTAGGTTGGTTTGGACGTGCATGTGTGTATTGATGTTGATTTGGGAGTGGGTAGCCGTAGGCTGGATATGCAATAACGGAAGGTTGTTTCTGATTGTGGGCCATTATTGGGATTTGTAGGTAGGATGTGGAGAGGTCATGATGGTGGTATTGAGGGATATAGTATATCAGCCTCTGTTCATGGGGGTGGTAATATGAGGACGACACGGTCAGGATAATCGGATTGGAGAAGTTTGGTTTGTAGACTACAGAAATCGGGTTGGGTATATCCATATTTTAAGTACTATAAATGCTAGTACTCCGTATCGCTACTCAACATACTATCTATACTATAAGGTTGACTGGCTAGTACGCAAGTCTTTAGCTTAGCTCACGCGTCATATGGGATCTCAGCGCTAGATCTCCTCGCTTACAGTACTCCAGCCATCTCATTGGATCATTCTCTATGGGGTACTACATGCCACGACATGGCGTGCGTCAGCTTCCAGCTAGCCAAGCGCCAGCGGCCGTTTCAGCTTTGAGGATCCACTTCTGATTTCAAGAATAATCTACAATCAAGAATATCTGCAGATATCTTCAATTAACTCTTTCAACCGCTGTGTCATGCTTTTCACTATTGCCATCCATCGAGTCGTCTACTGTACATGATTCATAAGAAGATACGGCCCAGGCCGAACAATCCAACCAGAATTGAAGGTGGAAAACTGAAGAAGAATGAGAAGAAAAGATGGCTCTAAGAATAATACACACCACACTCCCACAGTATAGACAGAGATGACGGTGACTGTGCAGCGATAATGCAATCAAAGATGAAACTGTCAATACCTTCCACCGCAAGTCTATCGAGGTGGGTGCTGTGACATTGGCCCGGGCAATGGCCCGGCATTAGAACCCTGGCTGTACACTCGGTGGTGGCCTGAATTAGGATGACCACCGGGAACCGTCTCCACAAGCGCTCCAGGAGCCCCAGGTCGTGCTTGAAGGGGGTGCATCGATCCAACGGCCGCAGGTCCACTGGGCGCATAGCTTAGCCCTCCGCCGGGACTTGGCTGCAGAATTGCTGGGGGTGTATAGGAGCGGCCCATCGACATCGACTGTGGCCCCGGACCAGGTAAGCCCGCTGCCCGGGAGACCGATGCCTGCGGGGGTGGAGTGTTGTGGCCGTACGGCCCACTGGCCAAGCCAAGCGTCTGGCGGTGCGCGGCCTGCTGATGAGCTCCATTGACCATGGTCTGCACATGCTGCTGATATGACTGATGCGCCGCATGCTGTTGCGCGGACAGATGGCTGGATCCAGGCGTGGCTGGCGCGGGTGAGGCGTACGATACCGTGGCTGGTGGCTGTCGCGACCCCATCCCGAGCAGATTCGCGGGGGACTGTA